AGAGATATGGCAGGGGTGTGTTGGTAGTTTTATGTTTGTTGACCCCCCCCTCCCTAAGTGAGGAGTGATCTTGTGTCAGTGTGTGAGGGTTGTCCAGGCGTCGCGGTTGCTGTGTGTTTGGCCCTTTCTCTCCCGGATTTGGGAAGGGCGTTGGCAGTGGCGTGAGCGAGTTGAGCGACGTGCTTGGTGTGTTTAACGCATGTAACTATTTGAGGGGAACGTGGCTTGAGAGCTGTGAGACGGTGTTGGGAGGTCGCCGCAGTGAGTTGGGCTGTGTTGGTTGGAGTTTGTTGGCATATGAGTGATATGGCATGTGGTAGTTCAGTGTTTCGGACTTGCACACCGTCACATATAGATGTTGAATTTACCTAGATCACATTTGAGAGTTTGCGTTAGGAGAATCATCTTACCACAGGGAGAGTGATGTTCGAGTGTGCATTGTAGGCGTGTATCTGTTTTGGACAATGCCGCTATGCCTGGGGTGTCGCGAGTGTGGAAGTGCGGATGTGAAAGCACCAACACGGAGTAGTAGTTTGGAAGTGAGTTTTGTTCACAGCGCCAGATGATGTCAGCAGTTCTCACACTCAAGGAGTGTAGGCACCAGCACAAGGGAACGAAAAACAATTCGTTAGTGCATAGACCACATGAATGGGCTGGAAACTCCTTTAGGCTCCTTTTCCACTACAGGGGGTACTCGAAGTAGCGAGGTACCACCAAAATGACTCTTTTGCTTCCCAGAGCAACATCCTAAAGCATCGACTAATCTAAAACGCAACATGGCGAGACGATTTAGGTTGGGAGGGGCTTTGGTTCAGGTAAAGTAAAGCCGCGAAGGCGCGATCACCTGTGATGGCACATATTTGTGTTGGACGGATGTCTGTCCTCTAGTTCTTCTCACTTAGACTAAACAACCAATCAGAGCCAAGAAAGATACGTTTATGGGGCGTTCAATTCGCGGAGGTCGTCCGGAGTACACGAGTAGAGTGGAAGTCTGAATGAAGACTAACAAACACGATCAACTAGTCAACTTCAACAGAGAGGGCCTGCCCGTTTCGCTGCACAGCTTGTTGTTTTCGGTCAGGCGGTGGATCCTCTCACAAATTCATTGAGAGCACTAGGACGGACCAGAGGAACCTGATTGTTTCCAACGGCGTGCACTTTGATTCTCTAACGTCAGGCATACCGCAGAGAACTTTCAGCAAATAAGACAAAGTTATTCCATAAAATATACCTACTGCAGCTTTAAAATCACAAATGAAGCATGTAAGTAGTATATTTAGTCATATTTTGGAAAAAATATGGGGATAGCTTCTTTAAATTTATAAAAACATTTTGATGTGTTTTAGTATTCCATTGTTAATCATGTTGTGAAAGATTAGGTGCCAGTTTTTAGATATTTGACAATTGTACCTTTAAGGTGGCCCTTTGTTGTTGAGTGTTTTGAAGAAAGAAACTCACTGACACTGATAATAGTCTGTTAGCAGTGTGGAAACACACAGGAAACTGAACCATAAAGTTTTCATAAAGGGACAAATCAAGCTTCATCAAGCATGCAGAAGCCCGTACATGCATTAGATGCAAAAACCTTTAAACACAAACACAGGCACATACACTCATGCCAACCCAGGTACATAAGGGCACACATACAAACACACATACACTGGGACCACTGATGACACACACCAAGCATAAGATGATATTGTTTATAAAATGTTTGAGTTCAGTTCATACAGACAGTCGCAGTGTCGCAAAGTCATAAAAGCATAAATTAAAGGAAAATCACACTGAATGTCAATGACAGCAGCATCCAGATGGTTTCTGAAGCTTTGAATTGTTATGGGGGAAGTTATACTACATTTAAAGCTGCACCAGGAGAAAAGAAAAATGTGAACCACTTTTTTCAAAGACAAATAAAATCAGGTTTATAGTCAACCCAATACAGTACGAGTTTAGTAGAGAACATGCTTTCAGGGATATAAAATGGAGGACCACCAG